ATTCAGGATTAGAGTCTTACCTCTCAAGGATAAGTGGTTAACCTTTAAACCAGACACCCCCATATCCTATCTCCCAATTGATCCTGTTAGCTGGTCTTGGTCGTCGGTGGCATACCGAGGTCGCTCCCATATGAGGGCTCTTCACACTTTAACTGTTAAATCTACTTACAGGATGCTACACCCAAGGATATATATCAAGGATAGAGTTGAGGAATACTGGATGAGACATCTGAGTGTAAGTAAAGAGGATTTGAGGCCAATCAAATGGTTCCATTCAGTCAGGTCCAAACCAGCTAAAGTGGCATCCTTACAATGACAGATCTCTCATCGATGCCTGCCAACAATGACAGAGAACTACGCTTGGACAAAGGGGTTTAGCCCTTCCCTGGTGTAAATTCTGCAGGTCTGCCTTTCCTTCTAAATTGATTGCGGAATCCATTGAGCACATATTCTTACAATGCCCTAGTTCGGTATGGTTATGGCGGTGGTGGGACAGGTTATGGAACCAGATTGAAACATCCCTGCCGTGGCCGTGGGATTGGAGGGCTCTTCTCCTGGAAACCTAGTCTCCCCTGTGTGAGGATAGTTTCACTACTAACTTATTCATGATTGGGAGAAAGGCTGTTATGTGGGCCATTTGGTCTCGTAGATGCACACATGAGATGAAAGGTGCCAGGCTGGATGGTCCTGAATTTACAGACTCCATTAAACAACAAATCCAATTGGAAATTACCTCTAGAGTCTAGATGGGATTCTCTGAAGGAAAAACTTGAATACCTATGAGCAAAAAAAAATATTCAACAACAAGTGGAAGCATTCAATCAAAACTGGATGGTGGGAAACAAGGAGGAAAACTTGGTCAGGCAAAGTGCTATAGTGTGTGCGATGATACTCAGAATAAGTCTCCAAGGAAGTATCACTTACATTTCAATGATTGGTCTAAGGTTGATCCCTCTATCCCCTTTAGTCCTCCTTCTGAATTTCCCGACCCCTTCCCTCCATCCAAGTTGGCCTTGGTTCCTATCTCGTGGTACGGAATTGAGTGATCGTTTGCAGATGGTAGTATGTTTATTGGAAAACGCAGGCCCGTTTTTTATCTATGGTACATAGAACTAGTGCTGCTGCCAGACGGAATCTATTATCTGGCGCCCAGTTAGGGTGTAGAGGCAAATCTCTGGCAGTCACAGATGTGAAGAGTCGTTCGTTCACTTTTTCTTCTTCAGATTTACTATCGTTTCAGGTTTCCTTCGACAATTCTGTCATTGGTTCTCAAGTTCTCAAGTGAGGGTACACACCAGACCCGGAACAGATATCAATCCGAGTTCTGAAGATCGTCTAATTCTTAGTAGTGAGATTGGAAGCACTAGTTAAGCATGCAAATTTGGCGCCCGTTCAGGGTGAAGAGGTGCAAGACAAAAATCTCTCATTCCCCTACTTCTATCCTCAGATCTGTTCAGATGGGACGCTGGGCCCGGTTCCCAGCTTTTGCTGTTCCTTATTATTTCAAATCCTTCTGATGTATGGAACACTGGACTTGGTTTCCAGCAGGTGCAGCTCCCCACCAATGGAACGGAGCCATCTATCTAGTAGGGTGAGTAAAGGGGGTGTCTGCTCTTATCAGCATCCCCTCTACTCCCCACCTGTGATGTTTATTTAAAAAAAATAAAAAAAAATGAGTGTAATACACATTTCGTTAAAAGTGAACCTTTTGATTGTTCACTTTTTGTAACAAAACCAAAATTCATGTTGGAGCGACATAAATAAGAATAAATCGAAACAATCATTGGTAAGTGTTGCTAAGTGGGCAGTGATATGGGTCAATTGCCATCGCTTGGAGTACTGGACCCATCACGCACACACACACACACACACACACACACACACACCACCCAACCCCAACCACCCTAGCGCACCAACGGTGTTCGAAGTTCTCCCTTGTAGGCAATCTCCTTTGTAGCGGCCTTCGGTCAGCAACTCAGAATAAACTCCAGGTTTGTTCAAGTGCTCCGGGCCCATCAACATGCATAGTTCGTAGTAAGAGGGATATGTACTTCAGCCCCCTCCCCCCCCCCCCCCCCCCCCCCCCCCCCCCCCCCCCCCCCCCCCCCCCCCCCCCAGTGCGCCGGTTCGCGAGCCGGACCGCATTATATGAGATTGCAACTGGATTCGATCACCTATGGCATACCCGTTGTCAACCCCTTTTAGCAAAAAGGTTCGGGCATCAGACATTATATGAGATTGCAACGGCGGGTTCTTAGGGACGATGGCGAGCGCAGGCCGTTGTTGTTATGTTGTTTTCTTTTGTTTCGTGTGTGTGCGTATACGTTTTATTTTTAATACCATGTTCGTAGTGAGCGGGATACGCACTTCAGCCCCCCCCCCCCCCCCCTCCCCCCCCGTGCCGGTTCGCTAGCCGGACCACATTATATGAGATTGCAACTGGATCCGATCACCCATGACACACCCGTTGTCGACCCATTTTAGCAAAAGTTTCGGTCATCAGACATTATATGAGATTGCAACGGCGGGTTCTTAGGGACGACCAGAAACTATTCAATGCAGGAAATTCATTCGAGGGCAAATTGCAAAGCACACAAGGACGTTTCAAAAAGTCATTGAACGCGAAATATCATACAATCCCACATTGCGAAGTGCACGGAGGCTTTCCAAATATCACAAAGTACATAGAGCCAAAGTGCGAATATGTTCTCATTTCTCACATGGAACCAACAGTTCAGTCACAAATGTACGGCATCCGAAGTGCGAATATGTTCGCATTCCTCATATGGAAACAACAGTCAGCATTCCGTGGAGAGCCAGAGATGTATTCCGGGGATAACAAAATTGGTGATCACTCAGTGCACCGCTGAATCCGTAAAACAACTTCAAGCACACATACATTCTGGCGATAATTGGTTTCCGAATGGAGAACAAGTTTGCAACTGTCATAAGGAACCAACAGACAGCATTCAATCGAGACAAGCAAAGGGGGTGAACCTTATAACGGGACGGCACACGCAGAACAAGGACGAGCCAAAACATATGAAAGATGGGTGGTTGGGGTGGGGCGGGGGAGAGGGGTTTTCACACCACAAAGTCTCGCGAACAAAAGAGATAATCAAGAAACAATTTGGCGACCAAGAATAAATCGTCGATATCTTACACATGAGTGAGAGAGGAGCACAACCTCGAAATGAACAAACGCAGCACGGTGCTGCCGCGGTCTGAGAGGTCATAAGGAGAACAACCCGAAAATAAACAAAAGGAGCACAAAATTGGGATATTCACATCCGATATGTAAGCGTCTACTTAAAAGGAACTGCACCACGTGGCTGGGATTTTTACATCGGCATCTAAGCTTCTACTTCACATAAGCGTCCGCTGCTACCCTCTAGCAGATGTTGCGTGGCAAGCAATGAGAACAACCCGAAAACAAACAAAGGAAGCACGGCGCTGCCGAAAGTCCTACGAGTAAAGATGACAAGTTCCACGAAATGAAGAACCCTTAAAAAATTGATACAGCACGAGGCTGGGATATTCACATCGACACCTAAGTCTGTACTTGACCAAAACGTCCACTGCAATCTGACACCTCATGAAAACAACAGCACAACTCGAACCAGCTGACTGCTAGATCAACTGGGAATAAATTCGCACTTCTGCTTATGGCATTTTGAAAAAAAAACTACGCGTATTTTTACAACAGTGGTATCATTCAGCGCCTTGGAGTATGTCCACCGCAATCCTCAGCCGGATGTTTGGAATGTCGGTTTGGGCTATCAGAAATGGTGGCGGACAACCGCGTGCAAGAAATGAAGCGAATGCGAGCATGAAAACACCGCTGCTCGACCCGTCCGATTGTTGAGGAACACCACGAACAACCACCTTGGGCTCCTGGAGATCCACTTTCGTTTTTGGACCATAATGACAAACTGCTTCGTCAAGGAGGTATTGCGTGAAGTTCGCAATCACATCGGAAGAAAAACCGCCATCGTCTTGTACGAGGGAGTCGTAGTACTCCAGATGTTGTTCTCGGAGACATAATAGGGTCCAATGCACTCCATGTTTATGGACATAATAGGCAACGCAGCGTTGGCAAGCAAGGCCAAGTACGACTCCACCACCTCGTCGGAAAGCCATTCCCCCTGAACAAGAGTTTGAAGACTTTTTCTGCTCAACGGAATTGAACTGACCCCTTTGCGAACCGAGCACACCACCTCGTGGCCGTTGCTGTAATCTCCACAGACGTTCCACAACATTCTCAAGTCCGTAGCGCTAAGCTCCTCAGTAGGCAATGGAACGCGAAAACATGATGTAGCCCCAGCTGCACAAACACCCACAAACAAGTGTGAGGAGTGAGCACAAACCCCGTGGTGGAATAGCTAAGAACTGTCTGCCCTTTTTCCAGAAAAGTTGTATCCCCGCTTGTTGAATGTGTCCTTCGCGATGTACCTAGGACACGGGTCTTTCAAGACACCCCGTTTGTCATCGTCATCAGACCCGTCAGACAAAGCAGTAACGCTCTTAATAGACGCAACCAAATGTTTCCGCAGACCTTCCTCCTTATCTATTCCACAAGCCTTCAGAACCCAGACAGCTCTCTGGGAAAGGCGAGGCATCTGGACCCTTTTAAACAACCCTACACTTGACGACTTCTTCGTTGAAGCGGCCAATGACCTCCCTGAAAGACGTTTCTCGCGCACGGCTTTTAAAGGCTTCATGGGCAGGGACATTAACAACCTCACACCTGTAGAACATAGAAAACAACCCACAACCCACAAACTTTTCTTTAACTAGTGGTAACAGGTACATTAGCCCATGACATCAATTTTGATGAACACAGAGCTGGCCAGTGACAGATATGTGAGTGGTCCTATTCACAAATCTTACCATGCTCGGGAGCCCGTTGAGGGAAGTCGCCCTCCTGTCGCGCCACTGCGCCAACGTCCATGGACGATTCGAGGTTCTGGACCTCGGCCACGGCTGTGTCGCTAACCAGCTCGGTGGCAGCTGAGTCGCTTGGCAAGTCGATGGGTTCATGAAGCACCATTTCCCGATCGGTACTGAGGACAGATGCTCAATCACCCTGTTCGGCACCACAACGGGTGGACGGAGAATCATAATCTTTCCGCTCTGGATCCATCTTGATGCTGACGGCCACCTCACCGCCTTCCACTGAGGATTGGATGTTCTGCATCTCGGCCACGCCCGAGTCATTAACCAGCTCGGTGGCTGCCGAGTCGTCACCCAACTCTATGGCTTCATGAAGCACCATTCCCCCAGCGGTGCTCAGGACAGACGCTCGACCACCTTGTTCTTCACCGCAACGGGTGGGCGAAGAATCACCATCTTTTCGCTGTGGATCCGTCCGGATGTCGACAATCACCTCACCGCCTTCCACCACGGGTTCTCCGCCTTTCTCATCGCCATGAACCCGAGCTTCCACCGCGGGTTCTTCTTCGTCTTCATCGTCGCCAAGAAAGGGAGCTTGCACGGACGTCCACTTACCTCCCTTAACGACACCCTCTCGGGTCGTGGCCACAGCCAAGCGACTGTGCAGAACCTCTTTAGACGTCCCGATCACCAGCGCTCGTGCGTGGAGCCACTTCACGTCTTCACGAGCCGGCCCGTGTCAAGTCTCCTCTCCCCGTTGTACAACATGCGTTTCCCCCGGAGCTCATGCACTCTCGCTGTCAGTGTCCACGGACGCACCCTCCGAAGCATGACGTTCACACTCGCTATCCCCGGTCTCCAACACTTTGCGAGACAGCCAACGTTGATTCTCCTCTTCCCGATGTACAAGACGCGTTTCCGGAGAGCGCTCGTCTTCCCCAGGAGTGTGACGTTCGTTCTCGCTACCCCCGGTCTCCAACACTCCTGGAGCGGGCCCTCCAGCACGTCGCGAGACCGCCAGTCTCGAGTCTCAACACATGAGAAAGGAGGCGAGCAGGGTAACCCTGTGTCCAACTGAAGATGCGGGGGCCAGGACGTCACATTTTCTTGGCCCCGCGGAACTGTTGCGTGAGGAGCACTTTTGGCGTAGGGCGACGGCAGCAAATCCGAATGTATTCGGAGTTTGTGGCGGTCGCCCGAGCCAAGGGAACCGGAGGTCGCACCTTCGCTCCTTCGCAATGCAGGCATCCCGCCCTCCAGGCAAAACGAAGACGCGTCCTCTTTCAGGAGCAAGGTGTTGAGCACAAGAGACCTCTGTTGCGCACGGCGGGATGGACTCTCCTGGGCAACGGGATACAAACTCCTCGCAGACAAGTGCAAATCTACTCGCACTTGATCAGACGTCAGGGTGGCCTCGTCTCGCATGTCGGAATCTCGACTCCCTACGCAGTGGAGGTCAGTTTCCATATATTGGGGACTCCCAGACGTTCTACGCTTTCCGCCCGACCCCTTCCCGCCCGACCCTTTTCCGCCCGACCTCTTTCTGCCCGACCCCTTTCCGCCGGACGCCTTCTCAACCGACGATGTCTCGCCCGTCCCCTTTCCGGCAAACTGTGAGTCGTCTCCTCCGCCACCTCCGCCGTCTCCATCGTCTCCTCCACCACCCCCTCCCGGATGCTGACTGGCCGGCGGAGGTTGCGGCATGCGCCAGTCAATGCCACGAGACGGTGCCGTTTCGTGTGCGTAGAAAGGCGCTCGAAACTCCAACATGTTGTTGGCGTACAACTCATGTAGCTTTTGTTCTGCATACGCATCGATGTCCTGATCGTTCCTCTCGGGGTTCATGAGACTCAAATGCTCCACCAAAGCAGTTCTTGCCTTTCTCTTAAATGCACCCGCTCCCAGTCTCTTCAGTCCACTCCACTTGCCATCGGCCTCCTTTATTGCCATGACCCATATTCCATTCCTCACAGCAGGTGGGAATATCCTCGGGTGCAAACGACGTTGTGTCCCTAGACATCCTCCGACGTGAACCGGTGATGCTTGCCGAAGAAGTAGAGTCTGTCATTCTGCCAGGTTTCATGGTCCACAGGGAGCCTGTCACAAGGTTCGTGATCATAGTCTCTCTCTTCCTCCCCGTCAACAGACGATTGGTTGTCAACTGGTTCGCCCCGAAACACACGCTTCAAATCAGCAAGGGACGTGCTATATCTCCGAGGGCCACCTTCCTCTTCATCATTAACCTGTCCAACCACCCGAGGAAGTGGCATGGACTCGAAATCGAAGGTTTCGGAGTCGCTCAGCTCCTCCATGTCGTCAGCGTCGAAAGGGTCCTCCTCGTCAAACTGTGACTTGTAGTTTTCGAGAGTGAGCGGTTCAGCCAGCGTGAAGTAAACGTGCTCCAGCCTTCTCAGGAAGTGCGAAACAGACTCCCTGGGTGCACGGTGGTACCCATTGAGCACAGCGAATACCAGGTTTCTCCGTCGACTGTATTCGAGGTCGGTCGGACCAGGCGGTGCGGGTCCGAAAAGGGAGTCCCAAACGTCCGTCCTTTTGTTCCCCGACAATTTCCAATACATGCACGTTTGGGATCCCAATTTCGTTCGCCGGTGGTGCGGGCAAACTCGCAAGCATTGCGAGTGTCTGCAACGCGTGCCTTCACGAACTCGTGAAGGTAATCTATCATCTTCGCCTGCTTCTCCAACGCGACGACGTTCCGACTGGTGCGCAGGAGTTCCCACACGGCAGACGCATGCGCCTTCCCAAAGAAAAAAACAGTTTGACCAGCTTTGCAAAAGTTTACGAGTAGACCAAGTAGATGGGACGGGTTCCGCTCCATCTCCCCGTAAGCAGGTCCTTGAGAACTTGTCACGCCGCCGTCCTCCTACATGCTACGAGAGAACCATTCCTCTTCCGCCATGTCGAAACACGCCTCAGCCTGTCCTGATGGGTCCGACGAACAAACAGCTTTCGAGCGGCCCGCCACCGTGTGTTTGGCCGGACTTGGACCATGAGCACGGGAAACTTTTGTCGGGCTACTGGCCGGGTAGACTGCAAATGTGTTGTCTTCCAGCTTCTCGCCATTAAAAATCACGTACAGGCGGTCACACTCCTCAACCAGCATATTGCCTTCCCGGACAGTGGCCTGCTTTTGTGCATTACATACCCACTTCCCTATCCTAACGTGATGGACGCTAAGCCTGGCCATGCCTTTCAAGAAACTGAGCTCCCGACGAGAGGCTAAAAAGATCACAAGTGCCCAGTTTGTTGGCGAAAGTGTTTGTAGAAGACCTTGCAAGTTGGCAAAATCGTCTTCTCGCCAGTCTGTGAGGAGTGTGGGATCACACAAATCGAGGACGTACAGGTTGCACACGTAATGTCGCACAACCTCACGGATCGCAGTGACATGACTGTGAGCTTGGGAAGGCGGGAAAGCGAAAGGAATAAGGCTGGTCACCCGGTTGAGGTCGGGTCATTTCATGTGCCTCACATCCCCGCTGACCCTGATCGTGTCTCGAACTTCTTCTTCCGTCCGTCGCAAGATGGAACGGACAGACTTTTCGAAAGATTTAGGGAACCTGTCATCATCGTACAATCTCTTCGCATCGTCGATGGACTCCTTCTCATGCGGAAAACTACGTTTGCAAGTGTTCACGTACTCCACCGCGCCCTGGAAATGCTTTCGCATTTTGACCCACACCTGTTTCGTGAGGCCCTGCGGCCCGAACTCCTCCAGAAGCTTCCCCTCGGTCCTAAAAAATGGGCTCCCGTGGCGCCAAAAACGTTCGTTCTCCTCCGTTTCAAGGAACAAGATGTAGTGGAACATACAGAGCATCACACGGTCCACTTTCCTCGTCGCGACTATGTCTTTAATTCCAGGTTTATGCTGACGCTTCAGATTACCGCCAGCGGATTGCACGAACACTCCCCTTAGCGCGAGAATGTCGTCAAGGATCGACAGTTTCTTGACATCGGTCATGTCGGCGAGATACTGCCAACAGAACATGTCTGGCTCCTTCACGACCACGAAAACCTTGTCGTCCGCTTGCGTTTTCTTTTTGGTCGGAGGCGGCCGGACCCGGACCAGCCACCTTATCTTCGTTTCACCAACCGCCCCTTTCGAGCCCATTTCCGGAATTGCTTGCAGACCCGGAGATTTGTCTGGCATGTATTTGCCCGACCTCGACAATGGCGTCTTGCCGTCGCCGCCCAACAACTTCCCCTCCGCCCATTTCGCGTAGAATTCCATGGCTTTGCGGAAAACGTCGTCACCGGCCGTCATGAGCGGCATCCACTGCCTCAATGCATTGCGAACTGCAGCGACATACTCCTTGTCGGCGAGCGACGAATCTTTTTGTGCCAACGTCCAGTGAGCTCCGTTCGGACTCTTTCCCAAAATCAACTTTTGGAAATCGAAGAACTTTTGTTTTTCGGCCTCCTTGCCGGAAGGGTTCCCTTGAATGGCCATCGGCCTTCCTTCATTCTCCCATGCCTCCCGCATGTCCAAGAACGCGGCCTTCTGCGATCGCTGCTTAGACATCTTGTGTCTCGTGTTCTCGTTGAGACTGACCTGCCTATACCCCGCGAAATCTCGGTCGGAGAACCACACTACTCTCGCCGGCCACGAGTGCATCTTCCACAAATTGAATATTTGCTCACCCTCCAACTCCTTCACAGCAGCCACGGTGTGTTGTCCGTTAACAGGGTAATAGTAGTACTTGTCCTTGTCCTCTCGCTTGAAGACATCTTTGTGAATCTTGTCAGCTTTCTCCGGCCTACGCGTCACCGACTTGTAGATGGCTGCCAAAACCAGAGGGTTTTTCGTCCAGATCTTCCCTTTTTTCTCGCGGAATTGACTCAGCATGTACCCTTGATGTCGTCCACAGTTTCGCGACTTAGACTGCAGTGGTTAATATATCTTTCCCAAGTCGGGATCTCGCAGACCTTCCTGGGGTCGATGAGCAGTTGGAAGGGGAGCTCCTTCTCCATGATTTCACCGACATCGTTTCGCTCGTATTCGAGCCAGAACGCTGCCGCTTCGTCGTACTCCTTACCGACAGGCCCTTCGCCACCGCTCGCCGCCTCAACAGTCTTCCGCCTTCGAGTTTTCTTCTCGCCATCGCCTTCTTCAGCTGCCACTTTCCGTTTCGATTTCCCCAAAGGTTCTCTCGCGGCCGCAGCGCCTGGATCAGCCGAATCTCCTCCACCCGCAGCGTGTCCTTCGCGGATTGTCAAACCGCCGGGCCTCCTCACTTTCTTACTTGCCGTCCCACCCTCTTCCTTCGTCGGCCTCTTTCCCGAGGCACGTTCTCCGTCGCCACCTCCATCCCCGCCCATCACCGCCTCCGGTTTTCCTCTCATCCTCTTCATGCGGAGAGCTCCTTCCGCCACCTCCTCTCGCACCATCCTCTGTCGCTCGCTCTTCTTCTCCGAAGGAGTCTGCTCCCTGCCAGAGCTTTCGCGGACAGCGCCCATCCCTTCAGCCTCATTCCCTCCAACATCTAGCCCCGATATGCCTGAATCTCTTCTCGTCTCATCTCGAAGCGAATACGTGTTGGCGCCGTAGTGGACCTTGATAAGTTTCGGAGTACCGACCCGTTGAGTCCCTGTACCCAGAGAATGCAAGTCCGACGTGTTCTTAGGAGCATCCGGGCCGACCTGCGTGTGAACGCTGCGTCCCTTGACCCGACCCCCAGCGTCTTGAATCGGACTCCCGCGCCCCACTGCCGTACCTGGAGTTTCTTGAGCCAAGCCGGACGACCCGTCACGGGGTGGCAGAAGCTGGAAAATATGCTCTGGCGGAAGAACCGGACGTTCTCTCGGCACCATCAGCGCGAGATCGAGATATTGCTCTGGCGATGGAAGACGCTTGCTGCCGCCATCGTAAAGGCCTTTGAAGTGAGAGCACAACGGCATGTTCGAGCCGTACCCCGTGAAACTCTTGATGGTCACCAGCACACCTGTAACACCTCTGATAGGCAGTCCGCACTCGTCGTACATGCCGTTAGTGTGCAGCTTGAGCAAACCTCCAGGAGTCTTCGCGCACAAGACGACAGTACCGAGAGGAACAACGTTGACCGCTCCCCAAACGTCTGTAACGCAAGTGGGTCGCATGAAAACAGCTGGCCCAAAAAGTTCCCCCTAAACAACGAAGTCCAAAAACCATTGTGCTCCCTTTGCGTGCATATACTGAGGAGTACGTTGCTGTACAGGTCGTCCCTCCTCGGGGGCAGATGGTCCAGCGCTTGTGGATGTGTTCTTTGTGGACACCATTGTATTCCCACCCGTTGACTAGCACGCCCAACCTCAGACCAACTCGGATGACTAATACGCCCAACCCCAGACCCAACTCGGATGACTAATACGCCCAACCCCAGACCACTACAGAAGCGAAGTGCGAACTAACTCGGACTTAACGAAATGGAGAACGAAAAGGACGTAAGAGATGGGTGTTCGAAATGCACACGAAGTCACAACAATCGGGTGAAGGATAAGAAAGACAGAAGTTCGGAGGGAAGACGATAAGTGTTCGGAAAGATTGCGACCCAACTAGATGCCCTCAAAACGAGTAAGATGTGGTTTATCGACAAGTGCAAAGGGTGTCGACAAGTGCGAACTAACTTGCAGTTCTGTAGACAAGACAACAATGGCAACCCGCTGCACTAGGGGAAACACACTAACTTGGAATTGTGGAACTGAAGACCTGAAAGACGCACGAAACGAGTAAGATGCAGTTTATCAACAAGTGTGAATCGACCAGTGAGAACTAACTCGCAGTTCTGCTGACAGGACGACAATTGCAACCCGAAGTACAACGGGAAAGCACAAACTGACTCCGAATTGTGGAACTGAAGTCCTGGTTTATCGACAATTGCGAAGGGTTTCGACAAGTGCGAACTAACTCGCAGTTCTGTAGACAAGACAATAATGGCGATGCGCAGCACTTGGGGAAAGAACAAACTAACTCGGAATTGTGGAACTGAAGACCTGAAAGCCGCACGGGTTGGGTTGTCAACTCTCCAGCAGTGTTGCTCAAAAAGTGCGAACTAACTCGCATTTGTGAAAATAAAGAACTGCCTTTAATGAAATATGTGTCTAACCTTGGGAAAACTGCGAATAACCTCGCAGTTGTCACTCCTCGAACACTGTACGCCACAAACTGCGAACTGACTCGCAATATCTCTCTCTCTATATATATGTATTTATACATATATATATATATATATATATATCACGTCGACGACCTCACAAGGGACAGGTGAGCGAAAATCGGGAATTGATTCGGTGTTCAGTGTAGCAATATATCTCCATATATACATATATGTATCTATATCGTTATATATATGTATGTAGATATCCGGTCGGCGACCTCACAAGGGACAGGTGAGCGAAAATCGGGAATTGATTCGGTGTTCAGTGTAGCAACTAGGTATTGATTCGGGGTTCGCCATGCGCAGCGACGACTGCAACTTGCGAAGGGGATCAAGCAGCTTTATACGAACGTTATTGTGGCTATGGCGAAAGGTAATCGAGCTGCGGAACGCGGATCGGCTATGGCGGACGGAGGTGGAGGGTGGAGAAAAGAGATCAGAGCACGTCCATTGGCCAAACAACAAAACCGGGAATTGATTCGGGGTTCAACAGAACGCGGCTGCGGCGTTATATCCTGCAGGTACAGACAAGGCATCTGGGAATGTGTCTGGACGTCGGACACAGAATAGGACAACTCAAGTTATATGATTTTACCTTCGTCGTGCGTTGAGCGAGCAACCAACCACCGAGCCAGCTATGGTGGAGGGATATCGAGCTAGGAAGAGCGAAGACAGAGGAGCGAAGAGCGAACCGAACACAACGTGGCAACTGCGGACGGAGCGAAGAGCGAAGAGTGAGCGGGCTATGGCGGAAGGTGGTGAAGGCTGAAGACCAAATATCAGAACGCGCGCGGAAGCAATAGCGCGACTTGATTTGTGGAGCGCCAACAAAAGGGATAACTCGAGGGTTGCAACGCCTTTTATACTTTGTTGCAGCAGGCCTCGCGTCGGGATCAAGGTGGGGCCGAATCGATTCGCATATCGCACCCCTGGGCCCATAAAACGCCATCAAGGTGGGGCCGAATCGATTCGCGTATCGCACCCCTGGCCCATAAAACGCCAGGGCCTATAAACGGTAAGGGGCACCGGAAATTGTCAGCCGTCGATCAACAATTTTCAACCGCGCAGATAAATGGAGCCACTGTTATGCCAGTGGCCCCAAAATCTTTGTCTACTCCGGCGTGCAATGATGTGACAGTTCCCGAAAACAAGGGGCAGGCAATGTCATTTTCGCAGTTGTAATCTGGACCGTCGATCGACATGATCCGACGCACGAGGTCAGGCGCAAGAATCTATAAGGTGCGGCGATTCGTTGTGCGCCGAGGCGGTTCGTTGCGCGCCGAGGCCAGGCGACGGTTTATTTCCCGTCGAGGCGCGGCGATTCGTTGTGCACCGAGGTCAAAAACATCAGAAATCTATAAGTTTCGGTGTCGCTATCATTCGGACATTTTGCAAATGTCAACGGCGTTCGATATCGATACGCTTAGCCATGCACCATCGCTATCGATGCGCTTAGCTCATCGCCATCGCCAACGCTCGCCATGCACCATCGCCATCGATGCGCTTCGCTCATCGCCATCGCGACGCAAAGCTATATCCCCCATCGCTGCGGCATCGCTAACCATTAATGCGCGTCCTCTCTCCATTTCTCTCCACCGATGTGCGATCTCTACCGACCTTTCGTCATTTATCCCCATCGCTGCGGTATCTTTCCTAATCTATCTCCTTCGTTATCCATCTCCTTCGGTGCGCTATCTTTCCTAATCTATCTCCTTCGTCATCTATCTCCATCGCTGCGCTATCTTTCCGAATCTATCTCCATCGTCATCTATCTGCTTCGGTGCGCCATCTTTCTCCATTGTTGTGCTATCGCTAACCATCGCTGCGCCTGCTATCTCCATTGTTGCGCCATGTTTCTCCATCGGTGCGCAATCTCTCTCGCTGCGGCACACCTCCCAATCAGTTCACGATCTTTTTCCCTTCCTGCGCCATACACCTTCCTCCCCGGAATATACAACGCACTTTCATTACAGTTGTCTTTAGACTGAAAGATGACCCGAATTCAACTGTAATGACCGGACGTTGTATTCGGTGGAAGACTATGACTCCATTCATCTCTCTTGGTGCGCCATCTCTCTCATTCGGTGCGCCATCTCTCTCCATGTATTTTCATTGATGCGTCGTCTGCCCATCGCTTCGCAATCTTTTTTTATCTTAAAAAATAGCATGCCATATTTCCCTATTTCTCTCTTGCGACGATCTGTGGCTCGTACTACACGCAGAACAAGCCGGAAACAACTTGCACTTGTACCCGCAGTTTCGTAATGGAAATGCTCGTTTACAAGTGCGAATTCATTCGCTCTTGAACCAACCAACCCCTTAATTTGTCACTGTTTAGTCCATAGGTCAGAATTAACTCGCACTTGTACCTTCAGTTTCGTAATGAAAATGCCCGTTTGCAAGTGCGAATTTATTAGCTCTTCAATCAACCATCCCCCTAAATTTCTTACTCTACAGTCCAAAAGGCCCAGTTTCATAGTGGAAATGTTCGTCTGCAAGTGCGAATTTATTCGCTCTTCAACCAACCATCCCCCCCAATTTTTGACTCTTTAGTCAACAAGCCCCAGTTTCATAATGGAAATGCTCGTTTGCAAGTGCGAATTTATTCGCTCTTCAACCATCCATCCCCCTAAATTTGTTCCTCTTTAGTCGATAATTCGCGTCTCTTCTCGGCCCAAAAGAATGAAGTCGTTTTGTATTTGCGAGTTAACTCGGCACTGAACCAACCACGAAGCCAATTTCTTATTGCACGGCGTAATCGAAATGTTCCTCTGAAGTGCGAATTTTTTGGCACTTGAAATTTCTCGCTGTTTAGTGGATAATACCGAATCGACTTGCACTTGTGTTCGGTCTTGTTCCGACCATGAACTTAATTTCTTACGGTACGTTGAATAAGTCCGAATCAGCTCGCATTTGTACTCTCGCCTGAAAAAGTGTAAGTTTACTCGGACATATCCAAACCACTTGCACACTGAACGAGTGGGTGAGGAGTCGGACTTGAGATAGCACTTGAGCCTCACATCAGGGTCCGACAAAACGATATTGATTCAAATGTTGTTGTTCCACTGTTTTGTGATAAATATTTGCAATGTGAGTTTGCTCCCTCTTGTTTATTTCCCTGACCTTGTCATACGTTGACGTGATTTTTTTGTTGTACTGTTTCCGTGTGAATCGTCTCTTCAAATGGTTGTCCAATCTTTCACTGTGTCACACCACCGCCACCGTCACGACAACACGGAGAAGACGATGTTCGAGAACGTAGTTCTTGTGACAACAGCCCGGAAGCTCCCTCTGATCGGCATTGGGGTTTGAAAAGGGAGTTCTCGATGTTGACCCCGACGAATCATTCAGGCTCGTCTACGACGTCTGCCCGGCGTCGTTTTGTTCGGTTTACCGACGTTCCCGACGGTCAACGCGTATCTACAGCGCTAATCCCCGGTAGTGAGGGTGTTTGGGATGTCGAGACGTTTCCCGGTGGGTGGATGTTCGTGGACACAGATTTCTGTGGTGTGTCCGAAAGGACTGGATCAGATCTCGTGCGGACAGCGGGTAGACTGTCAGAAAGCATTGAAGTTACCCGACCCCTAGCATTTGACTATAGTCGGTCGTTGGTGGACACAGACTTCTGCGATACGCCCGATAGAAACGGATCTGATCGGGAACAGTGCGGTGCATTTGGTAGAAATGGGTATGATAGGGATCAGGCAACGGTACGTGCGTGTGGAAGTGCGAAGATAGGTAAGAGAATTGCATGTGAAGCCGGAATAGTTGGCTCTCCGTCAATGACAACGACGGGTGCAATGAAAAATTGGCAGACTGGTTTTGTAGACACAGATTTCTACAGTTCATCGGAATCCTCCCAACCTGATTTGCCGAGAACCGCTCCCACGGACAGATCGAAATTCCTAGGTGTAGCGCATGGGTCCCCGACCAAAAGCCAATGTGGAACTCCCGAAGCAGTCCTTCAAGTTTTGTCCCGTCCCCTACCTGGAGAAAGGAGAAGATATAATCGAAAAAATAGGTCGGTTAGAAGGTTAGAGCATTCGAAGAGGGCCAAAAGTCGATTGAATGCAACTAACATTGCGCTCGTCCCGACGTACAAATGTTGTAAGAACAAGTGTCTTTGGGTCTTGACCATTGACGAT